AAATCTGCCGTGAACACAGTCGCTGTTAACCATTTCTAAATATTCTCATACGTAAGAACTAGAAACGGTAGCAGTATCTTTAATTATATATCATTTTAATATTATTTTTCTAAACTCTTAATTGATTAATTTTAAATTTTCTAAATAATTTTAAAGTTTCAAAACACTAAAACTATGTTTGAAGAATTTCAAAATTCTAATACTAATTTTTTGATTTTTAAAAAACAATATTAAAATTTAAAACTATATTTATTTTTAATATTAAAATTTAGTTTTAATTTAATTTAATTTAATTTAAATATGAATTTCAATATTAAAAATAAATTCAATTTTAAATTTTAAGTAATATTATAACATTTTGAAAAAAATATCTGGATAATTACTAAATTTATTAATATAATAAAAATTGAAATTTTTTGTATATTGAATTTTATTTTTATTAATAAATATTTTTTGTTTTATATCAAAAAAAGATAATAATCTGCATTTTAATATATATTTTTTTCAAATTTTTTAGATTTAATTTGAAAATTTTTTTTGATTACAAAGTAATTATAAAATAAATAATTTTTACTATTAATTGGAAAACAAAAAAATATTTATTAATAAAAATAAAAATTTTAATATATGATGCATACCATTTAAAAAAAGACTTCAATTTTTACTAATATCTTATTAATAAATTTAGTGATTGCCCAGATACTTTTTCAGACTGAATTAAATATTTCAGGAAAAATTAAAAGCCTAAACGATTTTATTAATTTGAAAAGATTAACCAGTAATATATAATCAAATTAATCAAAATCAACAAATTATTTTTTCTTAAGTAATTGAATTGTTTATTATATTATAATTGATATTAACTTTTTGATTATTGATTTTCAATACTTTGACAGGGAAATGCATCACCTTAATTAAAACATAGTAAAACTTACTTTGCAATTGAATTAAATGCAAAGAAAAATATATGTCAAAATATCTTCGATTTTACTAAATACGTACATGTTCCAACGTTTTGCATATTAGCATTGTGCAGGTGATGCAAATTTATTTGTTACTAACCAAGTAAGACAAGTACAATTGCAACAAAAATCAGGTTATATATTGTTTCATTGTAGAATAAACGGATTTTCCTAACCGTCAATATTTTGATTATTTAAATTTCTCTAACTATATTATGACAACACGGATTTCCTTTTTCATCTTTTATTCTTTCTAATGACGCAACATTTCGAACGCGGGAACTTTTTATATAGATAAACACAGCCTCATAAATTATGAATTACGCAATTATGTGCATAAATATCACGATGGACACGCAGACAGTTATAAAAGCACTAAGGATCTTATCTTTCTTTTCAGGCAGAAAATAAATCTGATTCTTCACCCTTTAACAATTACGTATTCTCGTCCCAATACTTTTAATTTATCATAATGGCAGATCAATCTCTCTCATCGCCTGTTGCTCAAGATCATTGGGTATTTATTAATTGATCGATCTTATCTTGATGATTAATCGCTTATTAAATCAATGATATCAAAATAGGCCGCTACATGGACTCCAGAAGGTCATGGACAATTTAGCGCGAACGCTTTCAATTATGGTGGACAACATATTGGTCGTGGAGACTATGAAGGCGGAGTTCACCCTGGCTTTATAACTAACCAAGGCTTACACATTTCATATGGTGGCAAAGAAATTATCTTGAAGAATTATCAAGTGCTTTCTGCCAAGATCGGTGGTAGTCTGACTTCTGTAAGTCAAGCGCAGGATCAGTTCAAGTGGAAAGCATTGTAAGTGTGTTATCTATCAATTGAAGATTGGTCGAGTATCTATTGATGTTGATTATACGTTATTTGATTTTCCTAGCCATGGTGAAGTTAGACCACAATTCAACATCCCACTTAAAGCTGGTCACGAGAGAGACGGTAAAGAATTGTACATTGCCAGAGTTCGTCATGGTGATGGTTATATTTACGGAAAAGCTGGCAGGGTAATTATATATTTGTATTATGTTCACTTTACATTCTATCAAATTAGATTTTTAATTATATTTCTATATCAGCATTTAGTTGAAGGTGCTTCTTATGCCTTCCAAGGTAAAGAGCATCGTGCTCTTGATTATGAAGTTCTCGTCTTCCAAGGCAATGAATAATCGTCGATATCGATATTATGCACAGAGAGGTGACTCTTATATCTACCGTGTATATTATATCCACTTTACTATTATTACCTCTTGTAACTAAGGTTTTTTGTTTGCAAGCTAATAAAATTAAACATCGATTTGTCAATTGGCAATAAAAATATTGATTCAATTATAAATTTTTATTTTACAGAGAAATATCCCAAGAACTAAATAGACGTTGAAACTTTCGGTAACCCAATAATATCCAATAAACATTGCCCAAAAAGTTGTATTGTTAATCAAGACAAATATAATTAAAAAAATCAGGTTATTAGTGATTCCATTGTAAAATAAGCGGATTCTTCTAACTTTTATGAGCAACCCGTTTGTTAGCTATATTAGAACTCTAGGCTTCCTTTTTCATCCTTATTCTTCCAATTATGTGCATAAATAATTCTGATAATCATAATGAATACGTTTATCCAAGCAGACGTTTACAAAAGCACTAAAGATCTTTCTCTTCAGACCGGATTCTTCTCCCTTTAACAATTTTACGTGCCAATATTTTTTAATTTATCATAATGGCAGATCACTCTCCCTCATCATCTGTTGCTCAAGATCACTGGGTATTTATAATTAAATGGTCTTATTTCGATGATTAATCGTTTATTTAAATCAACGATATCAAAATAGGCCGCTACATGGATTCCAGCAAGTAATGGACAACTTAGCCCGAACGCTTTCAATTATTATAGACAACATATAGGTCGTGGAGACTATGAAGGCGGAGTACACCCTGGCTTTATAATTAACCAAGGCTTACACATTGCATTTCGTGGCAAAGAAATTATTTTGAAGAATTATCAAGTACTTTCTGCCAAGATCTGTGGTAGTCTGACTTCTGTAGATCAAGCACAGGATCAGTTCAAGTGGAAAGCATTGTAAGTTATCTATCAATTGGAGATTAGTTGAGTATCTATTGATGTTGATTATACGTTATTTGATTTTCCTAGCCATGGTGAAGTTAGACCACAATTCAACATCCCACTTAAGGCTGGTCACGAGAAAGACGGTAAAGAATTGTACATTGCCAGAATTCGTCATGGTAATGATGGCTATATTTACGGAAAAGCTGGCAGGGTAACTATATTATTGTATCCGCATCAAAATTAGATCATTTAATTATATTTCTATATTAGCATTTGATCGAAGGTGCTGCATATGCCTTCCTGGGTAAAGAGTATCGTGCTCTTGATTATGAAGTTCTCGTCTTCCAAGACAATGAATAATCGTTGTCGATATCGGTCTTATATGCCCTTCTCAAAATTATATATACACTTTACTATTATTATCGATATGATCCTCTTGTAATCAAGTTTTTTTTTTGTTTGCAAGTTAAATAAATAAAAAAAACATTGATTTGTTAATTGGCAATAAAATATTGATTCAATTACAAATTTTTATTTTCAAAGCAACATATCGAAATCTTAATTGAAATCCAAAGAATTAAGTAGACAGTTTTGAAATTTTCGGTAATCCAATAAAATATTACCCAAGAAGTTATCACTTCAATTCTTCGTCATAGTGTTTTTACTTGATTAAGCAATGAACCTAATACTAATATATAATAAGTCGTCATTGTTTTCATTATATAGCTTTTATATTTATCCATGAAGAAAAATATAGAATACAATAATAACTTGCAATTAAGGTGCGAACTTAAAATTGTACCATAAATGGCAATAATGTTCTTCAATGTTCTTCAATTAAACTACTTGAATGATTGCACGCTCTCCTTTAGCCAAAATTATTGAAATAGTCGACCGACTCCACGACATCTTGAACATAATCCACCGCCCATTAATGATTGCGTTTGTCCTGATCCTAGAAATAATTAATTATAAATGATATTGTGTTAGTTATCCTCACACTCAAATCGACGAATCCAAAAATCGGTTTACAAACCTCGACAATTCGTACATAACCAACCACCAAGAGCAGCGTCCCCTGGTTTCGCGAACATAACATTACCCCCAGTAATATTATATGCTGACCCACTACTACTTATATTACTCGAATGATTTAATGGTAAATAATTCTGAGCAGGATGATGATGTTGATGTTGATGTTGTTGTTGTTGTTGATGATGTTGCTGTTGCTGTTGTTGTTGATTAGTAGCATGTCCATAATAATTACTTGATGAATTATTAGTGTTATAAAGATGGAATGCGGGTAATAAAAATAAATCCCAACATTTTCGACATGGTTTTCCGGGTCTTTTAAATCCAGTATTGTGACATTTCGCGCATATATATCCTGCGGGATACCTTAAGTATGTTGATAAATAATTACTAAGACTTGCACTAGCTGTTGTTGGTTGCTGGTGATATTGATGTTGATATGTCGGATATTGTTGTTGTTGAGCGGTGTTATGCGTGCTTTGTGGATAATATGTTGACGAATTTAGGACACTAGATAAATATGACTGTTGCTGATGTGTTGATTGGGGATTTATTGTAGTTTCCCAGGGTCTTTGAGGTCCAAATAGTAACGATTGTTCACCCGGTGAAGGATATGGAGTATAAGGAGGTGAAGGTTCTTCGCTAATGATATCTTGAATTAAATTTGAGGCTCTGGAACTTGTTAGTGTCGCCGTTACTTCTTGCTGTTGTTGTTGTATAGGGGGCGATGGTGGCATATTTACTCTTCTGTTTTCTAGATTTTGTTGTTTGACGGGTAAGAATACAGTGATATATATCAATCATGCGACCAATCGGTTAAAATTGGATTCTTTCAATCATGTGGTATTACAGCTTTGTTAATATAGTTTGTTTATATTATGGCATATTCGTTATTATGATGTCATATTAACGATAAAAATTTATTTGGATTGTCTATTACTTTGCCTAGAAAATGAATTTCTAATGTTATTTGATAAAAAAAAACTTGTAATAGAAATATAGCCAAATTTCTTTATAGTCACTAGAATTACATCTTTTTCAAGAACCAACTATAGTAAAATCATTTCTTTATGATTATATAGATAATAAAATCCCGTTATAATTACATTTATGAAAAAATTATTATTAGATTCAATAACATAAAGAGTTAATCATTGCTCTTGAAAAATTGGATACTTATAGAGAAATATGACTATAGAATTATTTTTTTACTAAGATAATTATAAAGAGATGTAATTATAAATGGATATAATTATAGAGAAATTTAATTATAGTCAACTCTTTTTATAATTATATTATCAAATTCAATAGTAATTTTTTTTATAAATATGCATATAGTGAGATTTTATAATGAATATACTTATAAAAAAATGTTTTATTATTCCTTAAACCATCAGATTTAGCAGGCAAATTTGCCTGCTAAAATTTATATCTAATATATTTTTACCAAAAATTAAAATAAGTTAAAAAAAAGTTTTTTTAATCTTAGCTTTAATTATATATTATATAATAATTGTTTTCATTTTTTTAATAATTATAAAAAAATTATAGTTGTCTATAAATTAAAAATAAGCAATTATAAAAAATTTTTATTATTAATCTTAAATTTTAAAAATATTTTATAATAAATTACAGAATTGATTAAAAAATCAATCAAATATTTTGAGCAATTGTAAATCAAAATTACAAATTTTATATTATATTGATTAAAAATATGCTATATTTTTATTTTAGCTTAGAAAAAGGGGGGTTAAGCTTATAAAAA